AAATATTGTTTCTGCTGCAATGAGATACTCAACGTTTTTTAATGGAGTTAAAGAATTTTTCTCAATAGATAATAGTATACATTTAGTGAATTTAAAAAATTTTAAATGTTTAAAAGATTTAAATGTGTCCTTTTTTAAAATTCCAACTTTCGTTAATGAAAAATCGAATTTCATAAGATATTTAGTGTGCAATTGATTTAGAAAATCTAAATTACTGAATGGATTATTTGAAATATTAAAAATTTGAAGTATTTGAAATTTTGAATATATCAAGAAGTTAAAGTTTGTTATATTATTATTTGAAATATCCATATAAATAATATTTGGCATAATTAATCTTTTTATAGATTTCAATAAGAAATTTTTATGAATAGAAAGAATATGGAGATTAAAATTTTCATTGATATTTTCAAATTTAAAATTTCCTTCCAATACAGCTTTTTTTAAATATTGATCAATTTCAAAATGTGATGTTAAATCGATAAATTTACAATTAATCTCATAAAGACCATTGTAAGTGCATATACTTTTATTATATTGCATTGTAGGTATTGAACAAGATATTTCATCACTGCCTTTTTCACAATCAACGTTTCCATTGCAAAGTTGATAATCGCTTAGAAATATTTTCTCATTTCTACATTTAAAATATCCTTTGGCAACAAAGTTTTCTGTTTTTTTTAGGAATCCTTCCTAATAAGAAACATTTTTTATAAAAATAAAATTTTTCCTTTTTACCACAATGAATTTCATCATCTCCATAAATACATTGGGATAAACCATCACAAATGAGATAGAGTGGAATACAATAACCTTCCAAATAGCACTTATATTCTCCTATTGAACATTTCATGTCTTCACAATGATACAACTCAGAAAATGGAAATTGAATTCTAGTGAGAAAATTATTCATAGAATCATATGTAATTTTACATAATTTAGGAATTGATTCCTTAAAAATTTTTATAGATTTGCTAGGATCACAAAAAAATTCATCACTTTTATCATGACAGTCAACAAAATAATCACATTCTTTTTCAATTGTTAAACAGAATTCATCACAATCTCTTTGGGTTTTTTTATTGCAATCTTATTGTTTTTTAATTGTAGAAATATTTATATTTTTATTAATTTGTCAAAAATTGAAAAAATATCTCACAATTGATGTATTTCTCATCAATTGCTTTAGGATGTGAGCATAATTCATCACTGTAGTCTATGCAATTTCTTTCATTATCACATACTTGACTTTCATTTATACATTGATTATTATGACATTCTCTAATATAACAATTTTCAATAAAAAAAAATAAATTTGTTTTGGAAAATCTAAAATTGGTGTGAATATTTTTAAGAATAAAAAAAATTAACCTTGAGTTTTTATTGCACTGTTGAAAAGCTTTTAATTAGCAAAAATTGTATTGACAAACACTTTTCTTGTTATAAAGAATTTTTCTACTTACAACAAAATTTTTCATCAGATTTATCTTGACAATCGGGAAAATAATCGCAAACTAATAGAAAACTAATAATTTCCTTAGAGTCTGAACATTGAAATGTCGGTATTGTTGCATTATCACAATTAATTTCGTCTTCACCAGATTGACAATCATAATTTCCATCGCAAATATAAATAGAATTAATACAATAACCATCTTGTTTACATTCAAAATCTCTTTTTAAACAATTGATAGGTTTTTGTGGAAAATTTAAAGAATATTGATTTATCAATAGAATTTCACTTTCTAAAGTTAATATGAGATTTTTCAAAATATATATGAAAAAAAAACTAACCTAAAAACTGTTGACACACGAAGACATTAACTTTTTTATTACATGAAATAGTTGAAATATAAGAATGTGTTGTCCTGAAAAAGTGTATATGTCAAAAAAGTGTTTTTTTTATTGAATATTTAAAGTTTTTTAAATTTACCATAAATTTTTCATTTCTATCATGACACAGTCATCAACAACTTTGTTTGGTTTTACTATAAAAAATTGCTCTTTATCAACAAAAAACACATTAATTCTTTTCCTTTTTTCTTGTTTGTCAATATTAGTCAAATGTTCTGCAAATGGTAAAAATTCACTACTTATATTACTCATTGTAACAGAGATATTTCTATTTTTGTAGGTTCTTCTTTTAAATTCTAAAAAGAGAAATATTTAGAATTTTGAAATTTCTTGAAAATTTTTTCAAAATTTTACTTGTAAAAATATAGGTATTTTCTTGGTTTTCATTTTGAATATCATTATTATTGATAATTTTTGTAAAATATGTTAAATATTGAATAATGTATTGTTTTTGAAATGATAAAAATGTTAATGATATCATATTATGTGATGTACAAATATTTTGTTGATATTTTATCCTTTTATGTTGTTTAGTAATGAAAATTTTATAGCATAAACTCTCAATACTAATCATATTTTTACCAACACATTCAATTTTGTTTGCTGTTTTAAAACAGTTTATAGTTAATTTTCCAATTCTTCTAGAAATATCTCTTTTTAAAAATTTAAAATATAACATTTATGTAAAGTAAAAATATTTTATTTTTTCAGGAAAAGGATAGGTTTATAAATCAATTTTGGATAAACCTATCCAAATCACTAGTTTTTTTGTACAAACTTTTCAACAATTTGACAATTGTCTATATTTGTTTCATTTTCAGAACACTTCAAATGGGATATAAATATATAATAGATGACATAGTCTTTACTTGAATGAAAAAAATCCATTCTTTGTGTAATAAATAATTTACCAGTTGAAAAACCAAAATATTTACATAGTAAATGTATGTCAATTGATTGAAACACAGAAATGAAGTAGTTAATGTTAAGTAAAGAGACTTCAATATTTCCAATATATGATGTATAATTATGCTTTTGACCATACAATGGTTTATCAATCGAATTTTTTAAATAAAATATTTTTCCTATTGAAATTTTTTGTTTTGTTGTTTTAAAATAAAATATTTATAACAAAAACCTGGTAAACTATTTTGTTCTCTGCAATTAAGTTTATAAATTAGAAAACTTCCATCTTTAACTACAATTCTTTTATTAATGAATTTAAAATAACATTTCCAAGTCATATCATTGATATTTGGTGAACATCCTTTCAAAATGGCTCCTAATCTCTACAAAATTACAAATTGAATTTAGACAAAATCTTTTGATTTTAAAAAAGGAATATTTTTTCAAACCGTATTTCTCACTTTAGTTGATTTAAAACCAACGATTGGTCCAGTATATTTGCCCAATGCAAGTTTACAATAGAATGAATTTCCATAGGCAAATGAGAGACTTTTATCAAAGATTAATCCCCTGAATCCAATATGTCTCGAGTAGATAACCATTGAATATCCACCCATTGAATACTTTAAGTCATACGATAATAGGGTGTCATAATTTATTACTTTTATCTCTGCAATATTAAATGACCATAACTTTTATTCAAAATTAAAATAAATTAAAGAATAATTTTATCTATGACCTTGAACTTCAAAGTATGAACAATATATAACTTTGGTCAAATTTTTCAATGTTAATGATAAGTATTTGAATGAATTATTTGTATTATTGAATTTTAAAAATTCAAATTTATCTTCAATTTTCAATTGGAAATCAAGAATTAATATATTGTTTTTACATAGTAATTTTCTGTCCTTTTCAAAAGCAGATATTCGAAAATGTAATTGATTTTTCTTTAAAATTAAAGAATAAGTTGATTTAGAATTTTTCATTGCTAAAACGACTAAAATATGGAGGAGAAAGACATATAGGAAATATACGATATATTATTTTTTTAGTTCATACAAGTTGAATTTCTTTTGAAACATTTTAAAATTGTTGAAATAATTGAGGGATGTCTAACTTTCTGGCTAAAAAAGGAAAGAAACATATAGATATTGTTATATTAGGTGCAACTAAATCTTTTTTTATTTATAGTTGCACTGTAATATATTAATAACAATAATAAAAATTTTCATTATTTACAAAGTACAACAACTGGACTGTACATTCAATTTCATTGCTTTTTCACTTAAATTTGTCTCTATATATTCAATATGTGAAAATGAATAAGAAGATTTATTTTTTGATAATTCATTGCAAAATTCTTTTTTCAACATTTTAAATGTAATTGTTAAATAATTATTATAAAATAATCTTTTTCCTATAACACCATCTTGTAAACCATAAATTGAATATTTTGAAAAAAATTCATTTTCTTCTACGAATTCAAAAATTAAATTTTTAAATTTTTTTGTTGAACAACCTATTCGTTGAAATGCAAAATTTAGAAAAATAAGAATAATTATTAAATCCATAATTGTCTGTTGGATTAAGAAAATTTTTTAAATATATTTTTTTAAAGAAATGTTTCAAATTATATTTTTAATAGGATTTTAAATTACATTAGTTGCTTTCAAAGTTATATTTTTTAATTGGGATTGTGCATTATGGATAATATATCTGTTTATTAAGATTACATGCATTAAATGGAAACATATGAGAAATAGTAAATAGACTATTTAAGGTTTGCTTTGTGTGTCTGAAATTTAGGACAAGACTGCTCTTCTTAAGATTTAAAAGAAGTCACATAAAGTTTGATTAATCAACTTCTTTGAATCCGGGACCGATCGAAAACGGCCATAAATGAAATATTTAAAAGTTAGATTTCAGCCTGGGAAATGGTTAGGAGGAATAAGATAACTGTTGATATGTTCTTAGGAGGGTCCCATCTAAGGGTTAGGGGTATTAAAAAAGGTTAGGCAAAAACAAGGGCTGGGTTAGGGTTAGGGTAAAACCATAGATTTATGGCCGTTTTCTACCACATCCTTTGAATCCTACTCCTCTAAGTTGAATTACTGAAGCAAAGGAACTATTTAGTTTAGCAAAAAATGTTGAATATATGTTAGGAGTTATTACACTTTTTTTTTACAGTTCATACATTTTGACTTTTCATTAAAGATACAAAACTAGGTCAACATTAATACTTATTCACTACTATTTATTTATGAACAAATCATAATCAATTTCGCTATCTAATCAAAAAATCTTTTTTGATGAATGAAAGAGCTCATTTTTTATGAAACAATAGGCGACATCAACAGTTTGGCATTCAACATGACAGCTGCTAATGCATCTCTATCTTCTGCTGATAATGCTTGATACTTTTCTTTAATTACTTGCCAAGTAGTGACTTGAAATGATTTTGTAACCGATTTGAAAGGTATTCCATCTATTGATCCTTCATAGATTGCCTCATTTTTCCAAAATGCTTTTTCATTAAATAGACGCTGACCACTTTCATAGAATTTCGAATAAGCCTTTTCATTTTGATCCATAAGAGGCAGATATACACGTGAAATTTCTTCTAATAGTGGTGCCAAATCATTGAAGTATTGTGGCTCTACACTTTCCTGATGATAAGTAAAATCAAGATTGGCTAAATGCTGCAACCATTCATAAGTATGAGGAGCGTCTTTTGCAATCCAGTTGGCAGCTGATACATCTGATAAATTCATACCCAGTTGCCCATAAATACTAGAATCGGCTAATGTATAACATTCCCCAAAGAGAAATGGTCGACTAGTAAATATCTTTTCTAATATTTTCAATATTCGGCCAAAACTTTTTTCGAGAAGTTCATGAGTTGGTGGAAAGTCTTCATGAGATGGTGGCTGTAGCTTAGCGCCTTCAATTTGAAATCCTTCAGGTGCAACACTAAAAAGGTAAGGTAAGCGTCTTGTTTGTCGACTGCTAAAATATGAATCAACTACAAATCCAAAAGGTCCAATTACGCTTTTTAATTCCCGTCCTAAGCGTTCACCAGCATTATTATCTAAACAAGCTACTTTCCAACGATTATGATGAACGATATATAAGCCCCAATCATCAAAGAACTCTTCAATTAAATGCTGAATAAAATCTAATTTAGCATTCTTACCCTTGGCTGGAAAAAGTGTTTTAGACAAAAACAACCCTGAAAAATTCTCTAGCCAATCAGCAATAGCCGTCGAATCATATAAAGCTTCGCCATTAGGACCGAATACAAAAGGTACTAATGGAAATTCGTCTTTTTCTCCCATTTTTGGCCAAGTGAGTGAAACTTTTCCATAAACCAGAGCCATTTTTTTTATCTGAATTTTTATGTTTTCAAAAAATGATCCCTGAGAATAATAGAATTGATGAGGTATCTCCAAAAAACTGAAGTAGTTCAAAACTTTTAAAGTAAATGGAGAAAGTTCCGATCCCAAAATAATCCATTGTTTGTGGGAAGACTTCGACGGCAATTTATACATTCTTCGTTGTGAACAATTTTTTTACGAATTCAAAAAAAATACACTGTTACACTGTACATTAAACAGAGTTGTCCTACGATAGATAAACAATATTGAATTATTATGGACTAGGTACTGATACTACAATACTGTTGATAAGTAGTATTGCTCTGATTTTGAGTGGTTCCGTGCTCCAACTGCATAGCAATCATTCTACTTTTGTAAAAAGATAATTGATAAATTGTTCTTAATTCTAATAGGAAGGCAAAGAGAAGATAGTCTAAATGTTATTTGGAAAAACTGGTTCTCTTTTTGGAGTACTGATTCTATTAAAATAATACTACAGCAACAACAACAAATGGAGTCTAGCTAAGAAAATTTACCCGTCATCATCACTAAAAATTTTTGTTGTTAAATTTTTATTAAATAATTATATAATATTTAATGTTCAGAAATTAGGTGGATATGTCGACCGTATAGCATTCTTTTTGAGAATATCACAATCAAAATGTTTCCTATCACTATCTTAAAGTATTCAGTATATGCTATTGAACTATATCCATGAAAAGTCACCAATTGCCATTATATCTTGCTAAAATAGAGAGAGTTATAGGAATACAGAAAATCATTAATTGTTTATATTGACAATTGCATTGTCATAGATCAACTGTTGCCAATTCTTATTCCTCATAATATACATTTAGAAATGTTACACTTGAAATTAAAACAAGTCCTCTAAATGGGAAAAATACAACAATGGATGCCACTAGTGTTGGTTTAATAAAGTTGAGCATATATGACAAGAATAAGCCATCTTTTGAATAATAAAATTAAACGTAAAAATATTAAAAAAAAACCTTTTGGTGAAAATGATAAAAGCTTTGGCAAATAGGCCAAACTTACAAATCATATACTTAAACCAATTTTTTGAAAACAGGTAAGAATGAGGAGAAAATTGGTGAGTATCTGATAAAAGTATGAGATTTTAGGGAGAAAATATGGAGTTTATAAAAGAGCTGCTTCAGGGTTTGTACTTTTATCTTGAAACATGTCCAAGCTGTTGGAATATTGTTCAATGATAAAATGCCCCAAATCCAGTGATCTCTTCCACTTTTTCCATTTATTGAGTCTGTACACTTTTAGACTATGTCTAATGAATTGATAATGTATGCCTGTATTAGATTATGAGCGGGGTTTATCAATATTTAAAAGGAATTGTTATAAAACTGGGGTGATCTTTGAATGAGTCAGAAATTCCAAAAAGTACAATTTTTTTTAAAAATCGGTTTCAGTATTATATGTAGTATATTGATTATTTGTTACAAGTTTGACTATTACAACAATACCACCAACAAATATTCCCATAATGTATGAAACAATGGCAAGGGATTTTGCCGAAGCAGCTCTTCTTTTTTCTTCCTGATAATTTCCTTCTCTTTTTTGCACTTTTGCTTGCAATACTTAAAAGTAATGCAAAATATTCCAATAATCAAACAACAAGAAAGAGCAGTTATACTTAAAGTCTTAAAAAAAAAGAATGACAAAAGAAAGCTCATTTTTATGTGTAGAAAACAGTATTAAAGGTTAACGACAGACTGCTAATGACAGGTTGGAGTATTGACAAAATATATACTCCACTCAACTATTGTTGAAAACGCCCACTGTGCCTGTTGAAAACGCCCACTGTCCTTGTTGAAAACATCCAGTGGTGTTTAAAGACTGTATATAACTAATATTTTTGGTTTTTGATTAAAGAACCTTAATTATAAATATAGTTATAAATTTTTTTTCTAAAGATTACTTATTTTATTAAACCAGAGATTGTAAAAATGATTGCTAAAACTCATAAATTAAATTCTTTCTATTTATAAAAAAAATTTTTCTTTACCAGTTGTTATTTTTTTTAAGATAATCTTTTGCCATCAATAATTCTACTTCCTCTCCAAATATCACTCAGATACAGGTAAGGTCTAATTATTGTTTTTAGATATTTTTTGATTAATATGGGAGTTATTAACATAAATAATGAATGAATAGTTTAAGATACATCCTAACTTGAAATTGAATAAAAAAATTAATTATTTTAAGAAAATTGGATAACTTTCAAAATCATTCCCTGGAAGAAGCATGGTGTCATGTAATATTTGTAAAAAATTTATCCAAAGAAATAACACTGGTTTCAAATGCAATCTTTGTCACCATAATTACCACAATAAATGTGTTAATGGTTAGTTTCAGTAATTTTATTTTTTAAATGTTTATAATTTATTAAACAGGGTCTGACAAATGTCTTTGCTCAGTCTGTTTAAGAATTTCAAAATGCCATTTAAAAATAGTGTTGTATAAAATATGTGATCAACAATATGCTGATAAAGCTGTGCAAAATGTCAATGATAGCAATAGTCCAAATGATTATCAAATACCATTTCATTATGATTTATATGACAATCAGGATATGGACACTGATAATCCTTCAATTGATATTACAAATTCAAGTGTTGGTAGTGATCCTAATTTTGAAGTCAGTGATGTTGAAGAAAGTTCATTTGAAAAAGAACCATCCAGTATTAAATTTTTTGATTCATCTAAGTTTGAAATTATTAAAAATGGTAGTCAGAAAGGAAAGGATTTACTAGTGCATGATGGCTTTTCTTTTAACATAAAATTTAAAACAAAGAAGAGAACTGTATGGATTTGCAGCAGAAGAAATAAAAATCAAAGATGTCCTGCAAGTGTCAATCAAAATGGAGCTTCTTTTACTTTGGGTAAAAGAGCACACATACATTTGGGAAATAAGGATAATGAGAAGAAGTGATTTAAAAGCCAAAAGTAAAGAAAATCTAATACTAAGTGGAAGAAGAATTGCAGAAGAGGTTTTGATAAATCACACAGATGCAGAACATTTATCAAAAGTAACATCCTGTGTAAAAGTTGTGAATTATCATAAGAGAAAAAATCATCCAAGAGAACCAGATGGTATTAATTTTTTTCTAAACCATACCTTTTTACCTGACAGATTTCTAAGGAAAGATATAAATGAAAATGACTTTTGAATTATAATATTTGCAACTAATAAGCAAATTGAACTTCTTTCCTCAACTAAAACATGGTTTCTTGATGGTACTTTTAAACATGTTCATAATCCTTTTATACAAATATTCTCTATTCATGGATTTCTGAAAAAAAATGATGCATTGAAACAAGTACCACTATTAACTGTGTTCATGTCTTCAAAAAAGAAAAAAGCATATGAACAATTGTTTCAAGTAAGATCAAAATTTTTCTGTTTGTCTTTCTAAAATAATTCTTTAATTAAATTACTCTTTGCAAATTTTTTAGACAGTTTGTGAATTAACAAATAATCATCAGCCAAAAAGATTTGTAATTGATTTTGAAAAGGCAATTTGGAAAGCAATTTTGTCTGTTTGGGAAAATGCAGAAATAAGTGGATGTTTATTTCATTGGTCTCAGGCTGTATTTAGAAAAATCAAGGTAATGATTTTAAATTGAACTTTAAATTTTTAAATGTTGAAAAAACAATAGGAGCTTGGCTATAGTAGAGACTACAAAAATAAAAAAGGAGAGTGGTATGCAATGAGAATGATGTTAGCCCTTCCCTTTCTTCCTGGTAATATCATTCAGCATCAATTTAAAAAGATTAAAAGAAATTTAACTGAGGTTGACAAATTACATGATCTTGTTAAATACATGGAGGAAACATGGATATATAATAGTCTCTGGTCTCCAAATAATTGGTCAGTATTTAAGAGAGCTATTCTAACAAATAATGACTTGGAAGGCTTCCACAACAAATTTAATAAAAATTTACAAGAAAATTCTTCATTTTATTGCACTGTAGATGAATTAAAGAGAGAAAGTGATCTAATTGATGTTTATCAAAAGCTACTGTCAGAAAGAAAGATTTGTAGGATACAAAAACAAATCTATGCCAACATGCAGAAGAAAATTGATGAATTTTGGGATGAATTTGAAAATGTCGATATTTGTGCTGGTGAGCTTTTGGAAAAATGTTCAGGAATTTATCATGTATAAATCTGTCTGCTGTGAATGCTTCTACTCTAAATAATTCTATTACAATTCTTTAATACACATGTAACAAGAATAATTTTTTTTGCTGTCTCTATGATTTCAATTTAAAGTGTTATCACTTTAAATGTAATTATGCAACTTTTGTAGTTTTGATGTAAGTTAAGCACAGTGGATGTTTTCAACAAGGATGGTAGGCGTTTTCAACAGGCACAGTGGGCGTTTTCAACAGTGGGCGTTTTCAACAGTGGGCGTTTTCAACAATGGGCATTTTCAACAATATCCGTCAAATCTTTTCTGATTTCTAAGATTTATCAGATTATCTTTTAATGTCTTATAAAAATATATGATTTATTCAAGTTTAGAGAAGTTGAGTGGAGTATATATTTTACCATTATTCTATTATTTTTTTTACCAAAATATTCCATAAACTGGATAACCTCAATCAGATATAAATTTAGTCTCATACTACTAAAAACACTGCCTATACCAAAAATTACTATTTTTCCCAAAGTCCAACCATCCATCATTTATTGAACAACTTGAAAGTTTTACAGAAAGATGGAAGAATATTCAGAAAGTTTATCATTCCAATTATAATACACTTCTTTGAAAGAATGTTGTTGGAATTAAAAATGACTTTATCATCACTACATTAAGAAAGCAAATATTTCGATAAATAGAATAAAAAATTTTTACATTTTTTTTTTAAATTTAACAATTGTGCTGATAAAATAAAAAGTAGTCCATTATGTCAAATAGGATAACATCACTTCCATAAAAATAGCACAGAATACATCGCTATCTTTTATGTTCATACTGATATCTATAGCCAACAGAAAACGTCCCCAAGTGAGATATTTGAAAGCAGCATTTCGGATTGAAAGATAGTTAGGAGTAAAGTAGCTATTCATTTATGGTTAGGGGGAGGGGTGTCCTATCCAAGGGTTAGGGGTAATCAAAAATATCAAGGAAAGACAAGGGCTAGGATAGGATTAGGGTAAAGTCATGTATTTGAGGACGTTTTCTGTCGCATCCTTTTCTCGGCATGTTTTAGAGCCTTTTTAAAATTTAAAATCATC